AAAAAAAAAAAAAAAAAAAAAAAATTATTTTAGAATGGATTTAACTTTATCTTACCTTCTCTATGACTGTTCCATGTATAAAATGGGGACATAATCAATCATTAGTGTGCTCAATCAAGATGACTTCAGACCCTAATGAAACATTTCCAAACCTATGTAGCAAACATGGAACAAAAACATGTAGGTAACAAGGATACCAGAGCTGCTTCTTTGCGAGCTATTAATTCTTTCACTTTTAGCTTACATGTGATGTGCACCTGTTTTCATGTCCTAGGACTGCCATAGAAAAATGCCACAAAGGTGGTTTATAGAAACAGAAATGTATTGTCTCACAGTTTTAGAGGCCCCGTGTCCAAATACAGGTGTCAGCTGTGTTGATTCCTTGGAAGGCTTTGAAGAAGAATCTTTCTCTTGCCCCTCTCTTAGCTTTTGATGACAGCTGGCCATTCTGGGTGTTGCTTGGCTCATAGATGGACCTTCATATGCCCTTTATCCCCGTGACTGTGTCTCTTCTCCTCTTTCTAGAAGGGTGCCAGTCCAGTATGACCTCATTTTAAATGATAACATCTTCAAAGATCCTATTTCCAAACAGGACCACATCCAGGGATTAGGATTTTATATATACTTTGGAGGGACTCCATTCATGATGATATCATTTAAGCATCTGTGTCAGTTTCAATGAGGAAATACAGTGGGAGGTTAGTGTTGTCTGGGTTCTGAGCAACACAGCTGGCATCTGCCCTGGGGCTGACTAGGAAGTCTCCATCTGTCTGGTGGTTTCATACCCAGGGATGCAGAAAGGACTGGGGTAGGTATCAGGAAGCTGAAGTTGAATGCAGCTTGGTCACCAACTCAGAAGACTGGCAATCAACTTCTCTCAGATCCTGTGTGACATCTGATATGAAGAATGGTCATAATGGATTTGGAGAGAGATGTGTTAGTGAGGGTTCTCTAGGGAAACTGAACAGTGATATACACACTTCTTTATAAAGAAGGAGATTTACTTCAAGGGATTGACTCACACAGTTATCAGTCAATGGGGTAGGCAAGTCCAAATCCACGGGTCAGGTGACAAGCTGAAGACTCTTGCTAGCTCACAGAATTGTAGGGACCTTCCAAGTCCAGAATCTGTAGGTCAGATGACAAGGTGGAGGTTTCTGCAGGCATCTGTCCCAAGATTCATAGGTCAGGTGATGGAAAGAGTATAGAATAAAGAGAGAAAAAGCAAGTGCTACCAAAATATCTACTTATATTTTGAAGACAAAACACATCCTAAGGCAACTCCTTTTCAACTGTTTGAATATTACAGTAGAACTATGTACAATGGAAACCTGTCAGAGTAGGGAAACGCAGATATATTCCACTAGTGAGAATAGTGGTAAAACTGAACGCTGTCAAAGGCAGCAAACTGTGAGACCCAGGGAAACATGGCAGTCTGTCAGTTCCAGCTCTCGTAGGTTTCACTGTACATTAAATCACATTATGGAAGATGATCACATTACATAACATTATGGGACCACAACTAGTCTACTGTTTGGCCAAACCACTGGGAATCATAGCTTAGCCAAGTTGACATCTAAAATCAATGAGGGTGGGGTAGAGAGAGTATTTTCAACACTTAAATCAGGAAAGAACTGAGTGAGTCCACATTAGGTCTGAAATCAGATCTTCCCCAGTTATAGTGCATCTTTGGATTTTGACTCCTTTTCTCTTCCCTGCAGATCCCTATCAGATTCTTGGACCAACAAGTAGCCGCCTTGCAAATCCAGGTGAGATACTGCTGACGGTTTTGTTCTAACAAATGTACCTTTTTTTCCCTTTTTCTTTTTTTAAATGACTCTTTGATAAAATAAATTTGTATTGGTGAGAATTTTTATTTTTTTAAATGAAAAACATTTCAGTTTGAAATCAGTCCAACCACATTAGTTGCCTATGTGGAAAAAAATGGGGCCGCTTGTAAATTAACATTTTTTGCTTTGGCAAAGAGCATTACAACCGACTACAGGCAGATAGACGATTGTTTTTCAAAGGAGAAACTTAATAAAAACAACAAGACTTCAGCTTTAGGGCCATTGTCAACCACACATTTTGAACCTAGATGCCAGAAGAAAGTGAAGATTCTTCGTTGCTTTCTTCTTGCCAACAACCATCACCTGTCCTCAAGTTCCGTTGCCAACCAGATTGTTTTATTTGTTTGTATTCCGAGCAGAACCAGCTGTGCTGGCACCAGCTTCAGAAATTCAGAGCATATGCTCCATATTCTCAACAGCAAATTCAAGTGCCAAGCATATTGCAAATACAAGCTGGAATCTATATTTCCTAAACATTGAGGCCAAAAGAAGGTTGGAAACCAAAAGATTCAGATGCAATGTGTGTGTCCACCCCCACAACAGAGTCTATCCTGTGAGAGCATGCAGTGTCATCATTATAGAGTGCCAGCATCTTTTAACATCTAAATTCTAACTAAGGTTAAATGATTCCATACATATTTTTAAGCACCCGTACAGCTAAAGACAAGTAGTTTTATTTACTGGTCTTCCAGGTCTGGGACTAGACCAGGTGCTCAGTAATTATGTGTTCAATAAACAAATGCATGAATAACAAGATATAGTCCCGAATGTCAGGGGGCTCACTGTCTGGTGGAGAGGCGGACACATAACTAAGAATTATAATACTGTGTCCAATCCATGAGACCCCAGACTCCTTCTCTTCCGTGAGTGTCTACCTGATGGCCAGGTTTTGTGTGTTCTCTGTCTCCTCCTTATAACAGTGTTCAGTTCTTCATTTTCAGCTGTCACTGTAACTGATCAAGTGAAAATAATGATTTAGGTTTTGAGATCAGTATTTTCAGTTATGAGGGCCAACAGTGATTCCGTGATAGAATTCTTGCCTTTTGTGCTGGAGATCTTCATGCCAGTACATTTTAGGACCTGTGTGTCTGTGAGGCTTGTGTGTTGCTTTGATGCTGAACAGGTTCAGTGATGCTTCCAGACTAAAATGAACCAAGAAGAAAGGCCTAGGGATCTACTTCCAAAATTTGGTCTCTGAAAACCCTCCGGACCACCATACACCGCTCCACAACTGCTTGTGGGCATTGCATGGGACTGGGCAGTGTTTTGTTCCAATGTGCATGGGGTCACCATGATCTGGACTTCATAGTGACATTATTAGCCATAGCTCAGGAAGACAGATCTAACGGCAATGCTCAGAATAGATTAAAAAGAAGAAAAGAATGAAATACAAACACCCTTCTTTGTGGAAGACCAGAGGCCACTGTGCCTTTTGTTATGAACATGAGGGGATTCCTCAGTGTGGTGGGAGCCCCAGACCTGAGGAGGGAACAACCTGGGAAGGACTCAAGAGAGCTGTTCAGAAATAGCAGATGCAGTTGATTACTCAGTTATTAGGCAGGAGAACCTTGAGCCTAGGTTCCAATCCTTGCTGATTTTGTACAAGTCACTCAATGTCTTTGAGCTTCAGCTCTCTCATCTCTATTATGGGGTTGTGGGGATTAAATATACGGATACATGTGAAATGTTTAGAACAGTACCTAGTTCATGGTAAACTTTCCATGGATTTGTTATTATGCCATAACAGAAGACCACTGCAGCCCAGAGACCCCCACCACCCCAAGCTTCTGCATTGTTATGGTTAAGTGTTATCAAGTCAGTGCTGACTCAGTAGTGACCCTGTATAGGGTTTCCAAGGAGAGACTTATGAGTTTGAACTGCCAGCCTTGTGGTCAGCAGTCCCATGCTTATCCTATAGCACCACACGATAGCAGCATACCTGGGGGTAGTTACTTTTCTCTTGGCAATTCCTAACTACAGGAGAGGGAGATACTTTTCTTGAACCTCTAGTTTTTAGCCCGAGTGTTCACTTACTGAGTTCCTCCACATTGTAACCCTGCGAGATAGTACAGTTAACCATCACCCCATTTTATAATGAAGACACCAATGCACAAAGAGCTGAGTATTCAACCAACAGAGGGCCAACTCCAGAGCTGACGGTGTTCCCTGCTACTTCACCAGGCCAAGGCTGAGCCTAACCATTCATCCTGGACCCTCCTACTGTCTTGGCTGTAGCACAGTCGAAGGCCCAGGCTCTGAACTCTTAGTGATGTTTTTTGTTTTTTGTTTTCTTCACCACCTAATGATGCTAGAAAAGGGTCCCAAACAACTGCCACCTATTTAGGTCCTTCTTGTTGTTGTTATGTGCCGTGGAGTTGGTTCCGACTCATAGTGACTCTGTACAGGGTTTCTGAGGCTGTAAATCTTTACGGAAGCAGAAAGCCTCATCTTTCTCCCGCGGAACAGCTGGTAGTTTTGAACTGCTGACCCTGAGTTTAGCAGACCAATTCATAACCACTATATTACCAGAGTTCCTTATTTAGGTCCTTGGTGCCTGCTTTATTTGTACCCTGTTCCTCAGTCTTCATGGCTGCAGAGCAGTGCCTGAAACATGGTTCTTTAGATCAGACCTGCTGAGTCATTCTGCAGCTCCCCTCTTTCTTTGTGGTTTGCAAACGGTTTTCCTTGTTAGTCCTTCTTTGCACAGCCTGGGTCCTCCTCACAACTGTGTTGCTTTCCTTTTATACACATTAGAGGGCGACTTTCCTCCTCATATTAAAGCAGTGCTTTCTGTCCTCTCTCTAACCATTCTAGACAAGTGGTGCTGCCACCAACTCCTACACTCTCTAGTAGAGACAGCCAAGGAAGAAGGCCTTTCCTTCTCCTAATCCTAGTGTCAGTTCATTCCCCTAGGACAAAACTAGTTACTGCTTACTGATATTCCAAGGGTGTTGAGTTCTTTTGCTAGGGTTGCTGTAACAAAATACCACAAATTGAACATCTTATAAGAACAGAACTATGTTGTCTCTCAGTCGTGGAGGCTGGGAGTCTGAATTCAGGGTGCCAGTGGGGCTTTCTTTAGGGACTCCAGGGGCAGATCCTTCCCGTGTCTCAGTTTCTGGTGGTTCCTTCACTTGTAGGTGCATCTTCACATGACTGTCCTGTGTATCCCTCTGTGTCCCTTCTCCTCTTGTGTAAGAAAGGCCACCAGCCAGGCTGGATTAGGACCCACCCTACTCCAGTAGGAGTTCATGTTAACCCCACCGATAGCATCTACAAAGACCCAATGTCCAAACACGGTCACATTCACAGGGGTGGGCTTTAGTACTGCAGTGTATCTTTGGGGATACACAGTTTAGTGCACAATAGTTGTTATCAAGATAAAATGGGCAAACAGATGTGAAAGAATGTATCAAAGAAAAATGATTCATGTTCTGATGAAAAATCCTGCCCTTTTAATAGTTTCTCTGTTTACTTGTTGGTTTGACCTTTGAACAACCCCAGCCAGTTTTCTTGTCTTTCTTAAATCCGAGACATTCTTGCTTTCACAATCTTTTCAGTCTTCCCAATGCAACTTGTTGTTAAGTGCCGTTGAGTTGATTCCATCTCAGAGTGACCCCATGTAGGGTTTCCGAGGCTGTAATACTCTGCAGGGGCAGAAGGCCTCATCTTTCTCCTGGGTTGGGCTTGAACTGCTGACCTTGTGGTTTGAGCCCAGTACTTATCCTACAAAGCCACCACACTCCTTATCACACATTGAATGTTTGAATGTTATGATTTTGGCATTCTAACAAGAATTTGATGGCTGTTCTTTTCAGATGATTTGGCCATGTGTAACTCTTTCAATTTATAATCAACTACTTTTGCTGTGGCTCTCTAGGATCAGCACTAGACTGTGAACCACAAGGTCAATAGTTCAGATCCACCAGCTGTTCCTTGGAAACCCTATACAGGATCACTATGAATCAGAATCAGTTCGACAGCACTAAACAACAACAACATAATTTCTCAACCACCATTGAGCAGGAGTCTCTGAGTGGTGCAAATTGTTGAATGCACTCTGTTTCTAACTCAAAGATCAACAGTTTGAGCCCATCCAAAGGCATCTCAGAAGAAAGGTCTGGCGATCTACTTCCCAGAAAATCAGACCTTGAAGACCCTATGAAATGCATTCCCTCTCGTCCCCACGTGTTGGAGTTACCTGGAAGGCAACTGGTTTTTGAGAATTCTTGCGAAGGGTGAAAACTTACAAACTATTTACAAATGTAATGATTGTAGTTGAAATACTAAATTTAACAAGTACTGAGGTTGACATAGTATTCCATTTTAGGATTACTTCCCTTGATTTTGAATGTTATGTGCTTTGTTCTCATGTTTGGAAGTTTATAAATGCTGCTTACAAATTTCTTCTTTCCATTTCCCTTGAAATACTCAGAGATTTGGTCTGTGGGTCTTCAGGGCTCAGAGGTAAAATAGCCTATTGAGAGATTAACTTGTCCTTCCTTTGGGTTTTGGGTTTTCAGGCCCCCAATATTGTAGTTCTCCATGCTGGAGAAATAGTGTACCAGTCTTGTCCGCTGGCTCTCTCTTATACATGTTTATAGGTGCGAGGGAAGAATTCCTACGAGGCAGTACCAAAGTTTTGAATAGATCCCAAGTGGTCTTTTGGCTCTTTAGAGACGTCTGTGGATTTATATGAAATTGTTCTCTCTGTGGGAGAAAGCTGACACTGAATATTTTAATTTCAAACAACTGTATATATTTTTATTGAAGCATATGTTAGACTATTGAATAAAAAAATCCATGTTTTTTCCTATTCCCAGGTCAGAGATGGAATTTTTTTTAAGTTGTGATCTTTTGGTTGCAATATACATACTTACAATGTACATACTAAAACCATATGGTTTTCTCAAACCATTCTTTGTATTTTTTAAAAACATGCATATTAATGAAATCTTGGAGGCAACAAAACTTGATTGAGAACAGTTTGGATATGTTCCGAAAAAGCCAAGCTTCCATCGTAATGAACTACAAGCTGTTAATACATCTCAAATGTGTTGCTAGGATAGAAATCATGGTTTTCCACCACATATTCAGAAAAGGCTGACCTTTCTCACAATGCTGTTGTATGCCCATGCATTCACAAACATACCCATCCCCATGTCACCAAAGTGGAAACAAGGATTTACAAGTTGGACAATTCATATAAGGAGCTAGTGGGAAGGATTTAGAGAGAAACACATTTATCATTGATTTTTACATAACATCAGTTCTCTGAATAGTTCCAAATAACCTTAATCATTTTATCACCTTTTAGGGTAAAATAAAAGGTCATCTCTTTGGTAATAAGCCGGAAGCAGTACTTAAATGATTTTACTTAGCACACTGGTATCATTTGGGAGGGAATACCTTTCTCTCATCCATTTTTAAAGCTTTAGATTTTGCTCAACTCAGCGTTAACGTTCTGTTACTCGGTATTGCTTTTGATAATTTACATACTTCTCTCCTTTTGGGAGTCATAAATCATCTTTGTAGCATAATTTCTAGAATGATATGCCTAGATTTTCTCAGAATTTAATAAAACCTAAAAAGCTGTATCTGTATGCCAGTAGAACCAGGAAAGCTCTGGCTATGAACACCAACTACCTGAGTGTTCTTTGACCAAATCAGAATTTCATTTGGCAACCCCACCCCCTGCAAGAAGATTTGCAATGGCTCAAGGTTGCAACAGTTTTTCTTTGGGGAATTGCTGCTAAACACAATTGGCATCGGGATGCAAGGACAACATGTGGATTTCCGTTACAATGGATTTGCCTAAATACTGGAAATAGGTGATCTGGTTTGAAAAAGAGCCAACTTTTTTCTCAACTTCCTCATTTTGGGTAGGTTAATTCTGTTCTAGGAAAAGTTTTGACAGAATTGCCTGCTGAGTGCCAGCAAAATGTTATGTTAGAAATAACGGTGTTTACTTCCCATCCTCTCTCGCTCTCTCTTTTTTTTCCATAAGCTTTTAAGGTTCATTTCCTAAATCTGACTTTTATTATTTTATTTGACCTAGCTAATATAAATGATATTAAGCCATTATTGCCATCCATATAACGGTACTTTCTGCCCCACAATAATAGGAAAAATGAACCCTCCCACCCCCAGAGCATCAAGTTGACTTGGCTTTGGTTTTGAGGAAGCCACGGATGAATAGAGCTGGCCTGCACTTTGCCCCATGGGAATTCTGCGGTCCATAAAGAGCTTGGAGCTGGTGTGTGAGCATGGTAGCCACCAATGGTTATCATCTGAGGCCATGTTTCCTAGACAGAAAAGGAAAGCAAACAAAACATTTGCCATGAAGTCAGTCATTTCTGACGTACAGCGGCCCCATGTGTTTCAGAGGAATAGGGGTTTTCAAAGCGGGACCTTAAGTGAATCCCAAGGCCTTTTCTTCCAAGGCACCTCTGGTGGGTTTGAACCCCCAATCTTTTGGTTAGTACTGAAGTGTTTAACTGTTTTTACACCCCCCCCAACACACACACACACACACACACACACACACACACACACACACCCCTGGGATTCCTATCTAAATAAGGACACTGGAGGAAGGAAGTAACTAGAAAGGATGTGTTCTCAGGAGAGGTGGAGTGAGCAAAGGAATGGATAAGAAAGCTCATGGCCTCCCTAGAGCTTTACCACGGGGAGCTCTGGCATGTGAAAAGTACCACAGCTAGTTCTGCTTGAGGCAAGTGGCAGGCCTCTGTGTCAGACTTGTTTTTAGCTGTGGGCTATAGGGGTGAGTGAAGGAGCTCTAGTAACATAGTAGTTACAAATCAGGCTGCTAACCTTAAGGTCAGCAGTTCAAAACTACCAGCTGTTCCATGGGAAATAGGTGAGACTTTCTGCTCCTGTAAAGATTTACAGCCTCAGAAATCCTATGCAGGGTCGTCATTATGAGTCAAAACCAACTCCACGGCACATAACTACCACCACCACCACCACCACCACCACCACCATAGCGGTGAGTGAGGCAGCTCCTGTTCTCCCAAGGGCCCATCTCCACAGAAGAGTATAGCTGTAGAAAAGAGCAGCCAACACTCCCAGCAATGGAAGGATAAGACAAAAAACTATTGGGTAGATTGTACCTCATGGTGCTGCCCTGTGTGTGGTATTGTGAAACTGAGCTTCACAGGGTTTTCAATAGCTGATTTTTCAGAAGTAGTTTGCCAAGATTTTCTTCCCAAGTGCCTCTAAGTAGACTTGAATCGGCAACTTTTCAGTTCAAATAGTTGCGTGCTTAACCATTTATATTACCCAGGACTTCAAGGGAGGGATGAGTATAGAGCCTGGGGAAAAGGATCTGGATGGGACCCCAATTATACCCAACTCCATTGCTGATGGAAGCATGTGTTTCTCTCAGACCCTGTTCTCACTGGTTGGTTTTTTTCCTTTCTGACCTCACTAGGGAGTGGACAGATTCAACTCTGGCAATTCCTCCTGGAACTCCTGTCGGACAGCTCAAACTCCAACTGCATCACCTGGGAGGGCACCAACGGGGAGTTCAAGATGACAGACCCCGATGAGGTTGCCCGGCGTTGGGGAGAACGGAAAAGCAAACCCAATATGAACTATGATAAACTCAGCCGTGCCCTCCGTTACTACTACGACAAAAACATCATGACCAAAGTTCATGGGAAACGCTATGCATACAAGTTCGACTTCCATGGAATCGCCCAGGCCCTCCAGCCCCACCCTCCAGAATCATCTCTGTACAAGTACCCCTCAGACCTCCCTTACATGGGCTCCTATCACACCCACCCACAGAAGATGAACTTTGTGGCTCCCCACCCCCCAGCTCTACCAGTGACATCTTCTAGTTTTTTTGCTGCCCCCAACCCCTACTGGAATTCACCAACTGGAGGTATCTATCCTAACACTAGGCTCCCAGCCAGCCATATGCCTTCTCACCTGGGCACTTACTACTAGAGACCTGTTGGAGACCTTTCCCAACACCATACAATCGCCAATGAATTGCCACAAACTCTATCGGAGAACATGAATCAAAGTGCCTCAAAAAGAATGGAAAAGGTTGACGGGCTGGGGAAGGACTCGTGAGAAGAAATCCTAAGGACTCTTAAAGGGCGGGAATTACTAAAGTATTACTACAGAAATAAAGAAAATGCTAAAGAGCGTAATAATGTATATGGACATATCATCCATGGACCAACCTTGTAAAAGACATTGTAAGTAGAAGCAAGATGTCATAAGGACAAAGTGCCAAAGAAAGTGGTCTTAAGACATGTATAAACTTTAGAGTAGCAGTTGGAATCCCACTAATGCAAACTGGGATTCAACTAAAGCAATAGAGATGACAGTTTTGACTTAACGTTACCATTTATAATGCCATTTTTAAGGAAAACTACCTGTATTTAAAAATAGGAACATATCAGAAGAAAAAAAAAAAAGAAGAGGAAGAAGAGAGACTGTGGCGCATCAAGGAATATTGATGTGGAACTCATTGGCACTTGCTGTGTTGGCTGAAATCTGATTCTTTCCATTTGATGGAGAGCTCTTGGCTCTCTCAAACTGTGAAGACGACCCAAAATTTCCGACTCCTTTGCAGTATTACAGGAGCTGTGAGCCAAATGGTGGGACCTAGGATGTGGACCGTGAGTGTATGTGTAATGTAGAAGAAGGCTGGAGGAAGAAGAGGAGGAAGCAGAGGCAATGGCAAGAACAGGAAGCAAGCTTCTTGAGTGTAAAGACTGGATTTAGGATGATATAGGATTAGAGAATGAGTTGTGGAGATTTGAGGTTCAATGCAATCAGTGTTATACCAAACCCAGTGTTATAAGGGAAGATGCAGTAATGGAGGAAGGGGCAATGTAGAATTCAGAAACAAAATGTATGCATCTCTTTCTGTGTGTGTTTGTCAAAAAAAGAAAGAAAAAGTTTTAACTGGAATTGTTTGATATTTAAAAGATACATTCAGGACCTAAGGCTCTGTTCTCCATCAGGGTAAGGTAAGAGGCGGCCTTGGCGACCACAATCAGAAATCACGTAGGCATTTGGGTTAGGCGGGCTCCAGTTTTCCTTTTCGAGTCGCGAACGCTGTGCGTTTGTCAGAATGAAGTATTCAAGTCAATGGGTTTTTGTTTTGTTTTTTCTTTTTTATATAATAATTATATAACTTATGCATTTATACACTACGAGTTGATCTCGGCCAACCAAAGACACACCATAAAAGAGACAATCAGCGATATCATGTGGCCTTGAATTTAAACTCTGTATGCTTAATGTTTACAATACGATGTTATTAGTTCTTAGAATGCAGAATGTATGTAATAAATAAGCTTGGCCTAGCATGGCAAATCAGATTTACCCAGGAGTCTGCATTTGCACTTTCTTAGTGACTAAAGTTGCCTAATGGAACCTTGTCCTGAATGTCGTGGTTTTTGTGTTACAATTTTACTTTGTCAAGGAATTTTACTTTGCTATTCTCTCTCAAATATGATGCTTGGCACCCAAACAGTGTTGGCTTCACCAAGCTCTTCTTATTCACACTCGCATTTCTAGCACCTTATGGAGTAGAAGGCCCAAAGGTTTTACCTGGGAGCTTCCATAGTTATGCCCTGAATGGAACCACCACCATCAGTTACTGTTGAGTCTGTTCCAACTCATGGGGACTCCATATGCATAGGGTACAACTGTATTCTTTGTTTCAATGGCTGAATTTGGGGGAACAGGGAGTAGATTGCCATACTTCTCTTCTGGATGGACTCGAATCTACAACTTCTCAGTTAGCAGCCAAGCATGTTAGCTATTTGCACCACTCAAAGACACATCTCCCTCATGAGCCCTCAGAATGGAAAAGAGCCTCAAAACTGAGGTCAGGTGGAAGTTGAGAAATTTGAGACCAGCAGTTGGTCACAAATCACCCTTAATTCCTATTATGATCATAAAGCCTTTGCTGGGTGCTGGATAAGTTATTACTCTTAATGCAGTCTAGAAAATAACACACCATCAATAGCTACAATATTTCACTGCAAAGACAGACTCTAGATGTACCATTTGACTTCTCTTTTGGAGGATCTTACCAGGTAAACTGTTGCCTTCATCTTCCCACAGCAGAAGATTTTGCATACCATGACTTGCCATGTACCAGCCTTGTTTGAGACTGACATGGTATCAGCACCCTCTCACAAATACTATTTGTTCCCATGACCTAAAGCAGGGATGGGAATGTCCGGCCATACAGGGCCCATGAAGCCATTTGGTCTGGTCCTGCCAAGGCAACCTCAGTTCCAGCTATCACATTTGTTGTTGTTGTTAAGTACCACCGAGTCAGTACCGACCCATAGAGACCTTATGCGCAGCAGAACAAAACACTGCCCGATCCTGAGCCAACCTCACTACTGTTGCCACGCTTAAATCCATCGATGCTGCCACTTGGCCAATCCTTCTCATTGGGGATCTTCCTCTTTTTCTCTGACCCTTCACCTTACCAAACATGATATCCTTCTTCAGTGACTGTTCCCTCCTGACAATATGTCCTTAGTATGAGAAACAAGTTAATTAAAATGTTTGACCAAATATAGCAGGCTAATTTTAAGCTGATAATTTTGTATGGGAATCCTTGTGTGGTGCCATGGGATAAGAACTCAACTTCCAGGTTGGTTTGAACCACAAGATCAGCAGTTGAAGCTCACCAGTCGCTCCTTAGAAACACTATACAGGGTCTCTATGAGTCGGAAACTGACTCAACAACACTTAATAACAACAATTTTGTATGGCCCGTGAATGATGCTATAAATTTAGACAGTACAAAGGTTCCCACCACAAACCTAAAGTCAGTTTCCCTTGGCATCCTTTGTCTTCACAATGTGCTATGAATGTTGTCAACCTTGGCCCAGGGGAAGGTAATTCCAGAGATCTATTAGTAATACTCTGGACTATAAAGTCGGTTTGAACCACAAAGTCAGTGGCTCATGCTCAGCAGCCACTCTTGGGAAACCCTATACAGGGTCGCTATGGGTTGGAACCGACTGGACGGCATTTAACAAAAATAGGCACCTGTATTGGGGAGCAAGCCTAAACAATTTAGTCTGACTCAGTTTCTGAACTGGTCCATTGAAGAGCTTTCTCAGGGCTTGTTTTTCACGTTGGAATCCCTTTTGCAATAATTAAATGAAGTTTCCAAACCTCTGTGCTGTGGATATTTTGGAAACGGCCTTTAAAGATTTTGGCAATGGCCTTTAAAGATCCATTGACTAAAGCTTCAGATGCTTTTCATTACTGAGATTGAAAGAAAGAGCAGGGTCCTCTAACTGCATCTGTCCTGACAAATGACTTCATCATAAGCCTCTATTAGAACTAGCAGCCTGCAGAAGGCCCATCAAGTGCCTGCATCTCCATAAACAAGCAAACAAACACAAACATAAAAGCTGACAGCCTGGGGGTCATAGTCTCAGGGGACACCATGATCAGTTGGAACAACATAGCCCACAAAGACAATGTTCTGCATCCTACTTTGATGGGTAGTGGTCCATGAGTGACCATCTAAGATGCAGCTATTGGTCTCTCCATGCGCAGAAGAAAGAAGAGTGATAATTGAAGATGTTTGTAATCAACTTATCCAGTAGACTAATGGATCATGTGACCATCAGTCTCCATGACCCAGAGACCAGAAGAACTAGATGGTGCCCGGCTACTACTACCAACTGCTCTGAAAGGGATCACATTAGAATAGAGTGGCATAATGTGTGGAACAAAACCCAAAATTATTGAAAAGAACAAAGTACTGGGCTTACTGGTCAAAAAGAAACTAGAGAAACCTGAGACTGTGGCCCTAGACCACCCTTCAGGTCTGGAAAAGAACATACCCTCTTTAATCCAAGCAGCAGATAAGTATATAGGGGAGAGAACAACACTAATAAAGTATGCACAGCATGGAATGGTCAATCATTCAAATTCAAAGGGGTAACATGTCCCTAAGACAATGGTGAGAAGGGATGGGAAGATGGGTGGAATGGAGGTGGGAACCACAGGAGGAAGACTGCTGTTGCACAGAGGGGAATGCAATCATTGAGATGAAACAAGTTGTATGATTTGTTGAATGTGAAATTGATGAACTTGTCTGTAAACCATCACTCAGTTCACAATAAAAAGTTAAAAAAAAAGAAACAGAAAAGCTGGCAGCTACGGTGACACAAACAGTTCTAATGGAAAAGCTCACTCTCTTTAAGAATACAAAGAGAAGGCACACCTCCATTCTGCATATAAATATTAATTCCTCTGGATAATCACTCAATTTGAATCTTTCAATATTGCATCCTGACCACGATAATAAAAACAAGACATGATTATCATATTCCATTTCAACAGATGTCTTCAGTTAGTTTCCCCCGACTCCCCCTGAATGCAGGTTATTAGGAAGCCGCCTAAAAACATCAGCAACTGGGATCATTTTGGAGAACATGATAATGCTGAGTTCCTCACATAAATAATTCTTCAACTCTGCCTTAAAATAACATGAAGTCCGTTGTAATTCGATTTGGATTCTAATTCCAAATCATTCTCCAGTTCATTCTCAGAATTCCATAACTTCTCTCTCCATCCCTCCACCACTTGGCTTACCCTGATGAACATGCACAATCTTTGCAGAATCTCAGTCTTGCCATTAATTTAGCCTCTGTGCTTTGGCACTTTGTACTCAATCAAATCCCGTCCTTGCCTCCTGATGATGTAACGCAGTCAGTGGCTTTAAAGAACAGAAATTGTTTCACAGTTCAGGAGGCAAAAAGTCTGAAACAGGATCTCACCAGGTGAGTCTCCTAGTTTCTGGTGTCTACTTGTTGTCCTTGAAATTTCTTTCCTTAAAGATGATCTTCACTTGTCATCTGTCCCCTGCCCCCCAGGCCTTGTATATGTATGTGTGTGTCTGTGTCTATTCTGATCTTTTTATAACTTGGAAGTGTTTAGGTTTT